CTTGCTATTGACTATACTTTTTTTTAATCTTATCCGTCTTAGTTGGTGGAAAGTGGTACCTCATTTAGTATTGAAACACATTTCCCTGATCACTAATAAGCATCTTTTTGTGTGCTCTTCAGCCATCTGTAACCTCTTTAAAGAAGTGTCTATTTAAATCCATCACCAGTTTTTACTTGAGATTTTATCCTTTTATTGTTGGTTGTGAGAGTTCTTTATGTCTCTTAGATATAAGCCTAGTATCATATATATGACTTGAAAGTATTTTGCCTATTCACTTTTCACTTTTTTAATGGTATGTTTGAAGTACAATTTTTTTCTTTTAATGCAGTCCGACTTACCTAGTTTTTTCTTTTGTCTATGTGCCTTTGGTGTTATACCTAAGAATTCCTTGCCAAATTCAGTCATTAAGATTTATTCCTCTGTCTTCTTCTATGAATTTAATAATTTTAACTCTTACATACATTTAGGTCTATGTAAAGTGGACCTAAATAAATAATATAACATCTATAATTCAACCAAGTAAAACTTAAAGTTTTATATTTAGTGTGAGAAAAGGTACGACAACTTCATTACTTATGTATGGATATATAATTTTCTCAGCACTATTTGTTGAAAAAAACTCATTTTTCACATTGAAATATTTTAGCATCCCTGTCAAAATTAATTGATCATAAATGTAAAAGCTCATTTCTAGAATCTCAATTCTATTCCATTGAACTGTGTCTATACTTACTACTACATTGTCTTCATTACTATATTATTGTGGCAATTAAAAAAATCAGGAAGTATGAGTCCTCTTATTTTGTTCTTTCTCAAGACTATATTGAATATTCTCTTTCCCTTACATTTCTGCATGAATTTTTGAATCAGCTTGTGAATTTCTAAGACAAGAAAAGACTTGTGGGATTTTTATAGGTACTAAGATGAATCTGTAGATCAATTAGGGGATTATTGACATATTAATAGTATAGAGTCTGCTGATACATGAACATGGGATTATTTTTATTTAGTTAATTCTTCTCTAATTTCTTCCAACAAAGTTCTGTAGTTTTCAGTGTATAAGTATTATAATTACTTGTTAGATACACTTCAAGTGGACTTTCGTTCTTTTTAATGTTACCAAAATATATTTTCATTCTTCCAATTCTTGGTATATTTATTGCTAATGTAAAGAAATACATTTTATTTTTGTATATTAATCTCGTACCCTGGAAAGTTAATTAACTCACTTATTTGTTCTAATTAGCTCTAATAGAGTGATGAGAGCAGGCATTGTATCTTATCCTTGATATGTGGATAAGAAGCATACCATCTTTCACCACTAGGTATTATGTTAGCTGTGCATCTGTTTAGATGTGCCCTTTATCAGTTTGGGAATGTTTCCTTCTGCCTTTAGCTTGTTGCATTTCTATCATGAAAGAGTGTTGGATTTTGTCAAAGGCTTTTTCTCCTGAACATTGAGATGGTTATGTGGCTTGGCTACTTTATATTACATCAATTGCTTTCTAATATTGTATTATTATGATGCATCAGCTTGGTTATGGTGTATAATCCTTTCTAGATGCTGCTAGATTGGGTTTGCTAGTACTTTTTACAGAATTTCATGCTTATGTTTACAAGGACATTTGTCTGTAATTTTTTCTCGTGATATGTTCAGAGAGCATCAACATCTGATGCTCTTCTTTTTCCTGTGTAAGGATCACACTTTCTTTTTTTCTGCATTTCTAATATTTACTGTGTGTATGTCTGTCATTCTTACATAATATTTTGCAATTCTGGATGCTGACCCAACTCCACGACATTAGAAAATAACAATACAGTGCTTGCTACTGTTTCTGTTAGTGCTGGTTGTCTGTTTAGTCAACTTACCAAAAATAAAGTCTATATTCTGCTGTGTGTACCTCTTGAAGTCTTTGTTCAGTTGTCTTAGAGGCCAACTAATGATTGTTTGGGAATTTCTTTAAATATGTGAAATCAGTAAGTCTCCAAGCCTTTGTGGAGGGACTCTGTGTGCATGTTTGGCGTGCCTCCACGATCCAGGCGGGCTCTCTACTTCTCTGACTTAACCGTCTCTTCCTGCCCGTGCAGAGCCTCAGCAGTTACAGGGAGGGCTTGCTCAGATCTTTCACGGATCTTTGCACAATCTTGCACATTCTCATGTATGTGTTCGTTGTAATCCCCAGTAATATATTTGACATTTTCAAATCTCCTGGTTCATATCTTATTCCCATTTTTTTCCTTCTAAAAATTGTGGTCAGCTCCCTGTTCATCTAAACAGTTCTTTCTGCTTTAAGCAGCTGCAGTTATTTTTTTTTTTGACAAATGACCTCAGAGAAAAGATTATTTGTACAGAATGAACTCTAAATCAGATCAAATAAACACAACCCTGCAAGTGGGGACTTCCAGGGAATTGTGGGACAAGTCAAATAATGAGAAATTTCTGGAAATAAATGCTTTTGGGGGACTCTATATTCATCTGTCTGCTCCAGTTGCTCCCAGGCTTATGATTTTCACCATGATTGCAGGCCTGTTATGCTTCCAGAATACATGGCATTGGAGAGAAAGTAACAAAAATGATGCAAGTTAAAGTGCCAGAAAGCTGATTCTTCTTATTGAGTTTTAACCATTTTTCTTGCGTAAACAACTCTTTAGATTGTTGCAGGTTTTGTATAATATCTAAAGTTCTAAAAAAGTTGATTTTGACAATTTTTCCAGTGTTCTTTGCCTTATTGGAGTAGAGGATTGTAGGCAGTCCTTCCTTTGCTCATTCTACTGATGTCACTTTGTACCTTTCTTTTAAACACTCTAAATACCAGAAGAAACATCTGAGTCAGCAGTAAGTGCTAATGAATAAAAACCTAGCCTGGCAGTGCTGACTATATGCCCATCACAAATATATTTGACTTAACGTAGACAAAGAATGAAGACAGTGGTGTATCTGTGCTGAACTGTAGTGGCTACTTGAGGACATGCTGCTCTCTGCAGTGCCTCTGACAGCAGAGCTCTGGATGGGCTTGCTGAGGTCAGAAATGCGTGGGGGAGACCAGTGTGGCTGTGTTAATGTTTCAGATTGTGAGTTTACAATGGAGGAATAAAAAAGCTAACATAGCAACAAACGGCTGAGTTTGAAAACCAAAGATGTATTTTCAAGTGTATACCTTGAAGTAAATGATGATCAGTGAAATAAATGATTATCACACATTTTTCTGTTCAGAAATTTCCCCACACAAAGCTTAATTGCAGTCAATAGCATCATTGCACAAGTTGGAAGATGACAATGTGTTATTAGAACAAATTCTCAAAGTAGAAAGAAGATGAATATCATCAGATTACCTGGTTTCAACCTGAGTCAGGTTGGTCCATTTGCTGACACTTTTCAAACAAGGACAAAGTCCTTTCCTTTGTAATAACTTAAACTCATTTATGTCTGAATTGAGAACACCTGGCTCAGGGTTGAGTGAAAATTATCATGGTATTAATTTTTAGAACTCAATCTTAATTTACCTCAAACAGTAGGAAAAAAATCAAATCCTTTTTAGGAAACAGGTGACAAAGAATAGGGGAGTTTATTCTCACAATAATAAACAGTATTATTTTTCATTAACACAGAAATCATCCTGACTATACATACACTTTTTGACCCACTTTTAAATAAATTTATTGAAGTATAATTGATAGATAACATTTTTTGGTTTTAGGAGTAAAACATTATCAATATTTATATACATTGTGAAACAATCACGAGTCTAGTTACATCCATTTTAACCATACAAAGTTAACTTTTAGGATTTACTCTCTTGGCAACTTTCATGCTCAACAGTATTATGGACTACAGTTACCATTACATTGCATTACATTATATCCCTATGACTTACTCATTTCATAACTGGAAGTTGGTACCTCTTGACCCCCTTCACCTGTTTTGCCCACTCCCCAACCTTCCTCTCCTCTGGCAACCACCATTCTGTTCTCTTAATCTATGATTCTGTTTTGTTTTGTTTTTTAGATTGCACATGTAAGTTAAATGATATAGTATTTTTCTCTTTATGATGTATGTCACTTAGTATAATACCTTCTAGGTCCACCCATGGTGTCCCAAATGGCAAGATTTTGTAACTTTTGTATGGTTGGGTAATATTTCATTGTATATATGAATATATATACATTGTCTTTATTCATTCATCTATCAATGAACCTCTAATTATTTCCATGTCTTGGCTGTTGTAATTAATGCTGCAATGAACATGTGGGTTTTCAAATTAGTGTTTTCTTGTTTTTTGGATAAATACCCAGAAGTGAAAAGGTTAATTCTATTTTTAATTTTTTGAGGAATCTCTTTACTGCTTTCCATGGTGACTGCACCAATTTATTTTCCCATTGACAGTGCACAAGGGTTCCCTTTTCTTCACATCCTCAACAGCACTTGTTATTTCTTGTCTTTTGAATAGTGTCCACTCTGACTGGTGTGAGGTGATATCTCACTGTAGTTTTGATTTATGTTTCCCTAAATGACTAATAATGTTGAATACCTTTTAATGTGTATGTTTGTCCATCTGTATGTCTTATCTGGAAAAATATCTATTCAGATACCCTGCCCACTTTTAATCAGATATGAGTCCTTTATATATTTTAGATATTAACCTCTTATTGGATCTATTATTTGCAAATACAGCTAATCCTTGAATATTATGGGAGTTAGGGTTGCTGACCCCCCATGCAGTCAAAAATCTGCATATCACTTTTGGCTCCCCAAAACTTAACTACTAATAGCCTTACTAATTACATAAATAGTCAGTTAACACATATTTTGTATGTTACATGCCTTAAATACTATATTCTTACAATAAAGCAAGCTAGAGAAAAGAAAATGTTATTAAGAAAAATCATAAGAGAAAAATACATATAGAGTACCCTATATTTACTAAAAAAATCCATGTATACATGGATCTGCACAATTCAAACTTGTGTTGTTCAAGGGTCAGCTGTATTTTCTCCTAAAAAATACAGAACACTTCACGAATTTGCATGTTATCCTAGCACAGGGACCATGCTAATCTCTGTACTATTTCAATTTTAGGATATATGCTGCTGAATCGAGCACCTGACCCAGTTTTCAACACAGTCTCAAAATAATGAAAATCTCTTAAACTATTCTCCAAAATCATTGCAGATAACAATAAAACTAACTAATGTTCATGGTGTGCTTGGGCTATCCTAAGCCTTGGGCTAATTGCTTTGTCCATATTATTCCTTTTAATAGTTATATTAATTCTTCAAGCTGATATTTTTTGTTCAAATTTTATATATGGGGGTTCTGAAGTCTAGAAAGGATAAGTTATCTGAAGCACAGATAACAAATAGTAGAACAAGGACTCCAATCCTGATGTGTTTCATTTTCACACCATATTCCAAAAAAAAAATAATGCTTTATTGTGGAGCTTAGACTTACTTTCAACATCTGTGAATAAAACATAGTAAAGCAGTTCTTTCCCAGAATAGTCAGAGAAAAATATCCACCAGTATCTACAGTCACTACTTTTTTGGGAAGAGAGATTGAACAAAATTCATTTTGAAAAAAGAGGAATAGAAATGCTGAAAGTTGGGTCTCACTCTCAGACTGACCAATAACTCAGAACACCACTTCATGTAAATTCTTCCCATCCTAATTCTTATTTTAAGAGGCAATGTACACTGTGTAAAGATCCAGACCTTCTAGAAGATGCATAAGACTTTGGGCCAGCACCTTCTGCTCTCTGGTTCACTTTATTTTTTATCATGTTCAACTTTATTTTTAAATTGACCTCTATACCAGTGATTTTCTCCATTTTCATGTTTTCTACTTCTTTTCTTTTTTTCTTTTTAAATTTTTTAAATTTTTATTCAAGTTTATTAGTATACAATCTTATATTGGTTTCAAATATACAATAGAGTGGCTCAACAGTTACACATGTATTAAATCCTCACCCTCTCTGGCATGTCAACTATCTGTAAACACAGAATGATGTTAGAGAATCACTGACTATATTCTCCATGCTGTACTACTATCTCTGTGACCAACTTATATTATGACTGAAACTTTTTGTGTCTCTTTATCCTCCTCTCTGTCCACACCAACCCACCCCAACCCATATCTCAGGGCAACCAACAGGCTTCTCAGTGTTTATAAGTCTACTGATGTTTTGTTCATTTTGTTTTGCTTTGATTTATATTCCACAAATAAGTGTAATCAAATGGTATTTGTCTTTCTCCACTTGGCTTATTTCATTGAGCATAATACCCTCTAGATCTATCCATATTGTTGCAAACGGCAGGATCTCTTTTTTATTGCTGTATAATATTCCACCCTATATATGTACCATGTCTTCTTTATCCATTCATCCATTGATGGACACTTAGGTTGCTTCCATATCTTGGCTATTGTAAATAATGCAGCAGTAAACATAGGGGTGCACATATCTTTTCAAATCAGGGATTTTGTTTTCTTTGGGTAAATTCCTGGAAGTAGAATTACTGGGTCATATGGTATTTCTATTTTTAGTTTTTTGAGGAACCTCCATACTGCTTTCCATAATGCTTGTACCAGTTTAAATTCCCACCAACAGTGTAAGAGGGTTTCCATTTCTCCACATCCTCACATCCTTCACTTTTGTATTATGTACTCAGTAGTATCACCCAACTTACAAGTGTACCATGAATATTAAATTAGAAAATCAGGATATATTCTGACATATTCTATACGGTTATCAATAATTGTTAAATTTGATTACACTGATGAAGTATAGTTATAGTGCATCCTGAGGAGGTTTCTAAGCTAACTTAGTGAAGAAGTTCAGGGATGTAATTTGGATATGGAAAGCTTTGGAAAATAAGTGGCTTATTTCATTTATCTGGAAATAATTGCTAACCTTAGAACAACTTGTTATTGTAGCATATGTTTGACAATGAATCTTTTATCTCAATAGAACATTGTGAAAATGGAAAGTTGGGGACTGCATAGAATAAAAATTGTTTCAGTGCACACCTCATGAAGAAAAGGAACTTGCATTCCTCTCCATTGAAGGGAAATGATAAGAAAAAAGGAAATAAAGCTGATAAGAATATTCTTCTGAATGTCAGCCTGCTCTTTGTATTATGGTTAAAAATTGGAACTTTGTATTATAATTAAAATTAAAAATAGGAGGAAGGTTTAAGAAGTACTTTTATTTATTCTACTTTCCAAAGCCAAGATACCATGATTTACCAAATTTTACTTTTCCGAAATGTTTTATAAAATGTTATTTTAAAAAATTAAAGTGAACTAAAGTACACAGTTTTGGAAAAATGCCCAAGCTCTGTGCAACATTCCTTGACATAGACAACTGGGTCAACCCAAAACTATAAATCACTGTCTTAAGTCTAGGACATAGAATTATTTGGAGAGAATGAACAGCAGTCAGATGTCACTGAACTGAGTTACTTGGAGCTGGTGAGCTAAGCCGGAGCACAAAGGCTGGTCTCGAATTGTGGTAAGAATGTTGACTAGCCACACACTCAAGATTATTTCCATTTCAGTGCATGACTGACCCCCGAAAAAAGACTGTTGAGTGTTGAGTGTTGAGTGTTGAGGTATCCATGATGCCTCTTGTATTTCTCATAGGTGTGCTTCCAAATTCAATGACCAATGTAAACAATTATACACCAGAATGGGGCAAACATGGTATGTTAGCCGTTTATCTATTAAATCACCAGGCAGGGTGAAGCAACATATTAGCATGCCAAAAGTATAACTATACATCATAAGACATTTCTTTCTGACCCTTGTGACATTATTTCACATCTTATTTTTGATCATGATATTTCGTCCATAGCAAACCTAGTCATCCCATCAGAGGTGGCTCAGGGCTGCCTTCTAAGGGTAAGACAAGCATTCTTAAGTAGATAAATACGATTTTGATACTTTAAACATGTAAGCCCTAAGAATGTTTAGCTTATTACTGCTATATTTTCAGAGATTGGAAAAATTCCTGATACTTAATAACCAATAAATATTCATTGATTGACAAACTATATTTTTCCAAAGACCAACTCAATTATATAACTTGTCTTAATGATTGTGATTGATTATATTTTCCAAAAAATCTCACAGCACAATTTCCAGGACTGCTTGTTATCCTTAAACCTTACCCATTCTCCTTCATGAAATGGAATGTATTTCCATCCCACTGCAACTTGGGAGGATTTACAATGGTTCTGATGCAGATAGCGTTGTGGAAGGAGTGCTACATGACAGCCAAGTCTGCGTGATACAGTGGTAGAGCTTCCACCTGGCACATTTGCCTCTCTTTCTCCCTCTCCTGGATGCTCGCTGTCTCAGTCACTTTGGGCTATTATAACAAAAGTACCACACCCTAGGGGGTTTAAACAACAACCATTTATTTCTCACACTTCTGGAGGTAGGGAAATCCAAGATCAAGGACCAGCTGATACCATGTCTGGAGAGGGCTTCTTCCTGATTCACAGATCGCCATCTTCTTACTCACAAGGTGGAAGGGTGGGAGGCAGCAGAGCTCTCTGAGGCCTCTTTTATAGGAGCCCTGGTCCCCAAGGCCTAGCCTCTAAATGCCATCACATTAGGGATTAGGACTGAACATAGAATTTTGGGGATACACACACTGGTCTACGGCCCTCTTCTTGGGAACCTAATCAGTGTGCTGTGAGGACACAAAGGCTGCAAGGAAGGGCTGAGTGTCAGTGTTTTGAAATTGCTGCTCACTAGAAGGACCTCCCAAGTTATGGATGATCATGTCTTCAACTGATTCCAGCCCCCAGGCTTCAACTGTCTCAGCTGAGGACCCAGATACTGTGAAAAGAAACAAACAATCCATGCTGTGCCGAATTCCTGACTCATAGAATAATGGTTGTTTTAGACAGATTTTTTTTTTTGCCATTTGTTTTGTACCATAGTAACTATGAATTTACAAAGATTCATAGTAAACACTGCACAAAGGTAAATTTGAAAAACCTAAATTATTTTTCATTAATATTCATATTAGTATTTATACTCATAATAGCATTTGCTATTATAAATAAGTTTTTTGACATTATTGTTTTGTGAATTCTTTATTAATTGCTGCAATCTCTTTATTTGGGCTTTAGTATTTTTATCTGTTTTAATGTTTCACCTGTATGTGTCCAGAGACTTATTTTTGATTATTCTCATCTCCCTCACTTAAATATAAGCTCTCCAAAGGTTAGGAAGATACCCATTATTTTGATCACCACTATAGTTTCACAGTTCATGGAAAAATGTACAAATTCAGTAAATGCTATTAAATGTAATAAGGAATATCTTTTTTACATAATTTCCATATGGCATTCAGCTGGCTGCATCTAACTAAGCTGTAAACTTAATTTTGGATAATTGTCTTCCTACCATATTTTGTATTACTTTATTCTACAACTCATATCAATTGTGAATCCTTTCCATCCTAAGAATTCTAGATGACTTTTCTGCAACATTTTTTGTATTTTCCCTGTTTTTGTTAAAATAAATTATTGGATTTATTTAAGATTGGGGAAAACTATTGGCTCTCTTAAGCTAAGTATTCTCAGGTTAAGAAGCAATTTCTGTTTGCTCCTGAGCCAGGCAGAGGACAAAGGCTTGGCCATGGGCACCATGTTACTAGGCAACCTTGGCTGTCCATCACCATATGCAGGTGGTCTGACTTAAATTGGGCACAGGTAGGTTTCAAAAGTAAATGGCTCTGCTTACTATTAACACCCACTCCTGGGACATCACTCTCATTCTCACAACTGGCATCAAACATTTTCTGTGACCTGTAACCTGAGGAAGAAAAAGTGTTCTTGTGGCTTCCAAGTTGCTTATCACAATATGCCGGCACCAACCAGAGCAGACAGTGGGAGAACCACAGTTCCACTCAGGTGGGACTGAAGGACAGTGAGTAAGCGTCCTACTCCACAGTCCCTCTCCAGGGGGTGGAACTTTCAGAAGGGCATCTGTTTTTGCCTGGAAAGAGAGATAGCCATATGGATTTGCATGAACAATGGGTGAATGTCTGCCTTGATTATCATGGAGTTGGAGGGAACATAATTAGAAAATTG